TATTTGGTTGGTTTTAAATTTGACAATCAAAATGGAAATAAATGTAATAGTCAATAGATTAACATAACACATAAAATGAGACAAGGTGAGTACACCTTTTTAGTTATTAAAAATTTTAAGAGATTAATATTAAATCTAAAATTTTAAAATAAAAACTTGACTATAAGGCTTTTCTCATAAATTCCAAAAATATGAGCAAAAGAATTTTTACGGGGTTGTTTGGTAAATAGTTGTTAACTGATTGAGTTAGCGAGTTTGACTAGTTAATTGTAGAAAGATGTTTGATAAATTAGTTGTTAACTGATTACATGCAAAATGATTTTTTCAAAAAATTAATCAAAAAAGTTACTTGCAATTTTTTGAATTTTATCATTTTGAAAATTACAAAAACTTAATTAATTAAGGCTTTTAATCAAGTCAAACATGTAATAGTACTCAAATAAATTAAAATTAACTAATGATCTAATTATATTACTAAACAAGGCTTATATTTTTTAAATGACAAAAGAAAGCACCATAGCATTAATGAAACAAAAAAGTAGGCTCAGATGTCCCGAATGTGTTCCTGACTTCCTGGGTTTTACCCAAATCAGCAACAAATGAAAAGCACAACACAATTCAAAAATAAAAAATATTGTTCCCATTAGAATAAGAAGATAGTATTTTTTTTAATAGAAAAATACTTTTATTTTAACAATTCAAAAAAGAATACCACCAAATTCCTCTCTATTTATAATATCTTTGTATTTGACATTATAATTTTTAAAATTATTTTTCTTGATGATGTTTCCAGCACACAAATATTTTCCAAAAATCTAAGTGCATGTATAAATCCAATATTAGTATGCAGTTTCTATTACAAATGCAAAATGAAGATAAAAAATAATGCTGAAAATAGCTGGGGATTGGGATCCATACTAATGATGTGTTTGAAAACCTAAAAAATAACTTCTGAACAATGGTTTTCAAAAAATGAGTCATTTTAAAAAAAAAAAAAAAAACAAAAACAAAAACAAAAAATTTCATGATCCATGGAAGGAAGATGAAGACCAAATGCTTTTCTTTTTTTTTTCTTTTTCTTTTTTTTGCCACTCAATTTCTTCAAGTGAAATTACAAATTTAGGCCTGGGCATCACCCTTCTTCCCCCACCCATCGCCTCCACTCTCATCTCTGTCACTTAACAGTCTCCCACTCTCATCATCGCCCTGCTGAGCCTTCTTCTGGGCTTCCTTGGCCTTCAACGCCTGCAATTTGGAGTGATTATAGTACCCAACCCCCAAGAATGCCACCCCATAGCCAAGCAAGTTAACAGGGGTGACACTATCCTTAATCACAGACCAAGAAAACGCAATCAAGAGCCAATCTTTAACCACCCCACCCACATTCATGGTCAGGGCCGAAGTCTTGCCCACCAGCAAGAAAACAGCCAAGTTGAGCGCAAAGGCGCAGAGGGAATTGGTGCCGAAAACCACAAAATCGAACCGGAAGCCGCCGGAGCTCTCCCGAAGAAGCGGCAATTCGACCAAAACCCAGGGGATACACAGGAAAACCAAGCAGCTGGGAGCGACATAGTACAAGGATGTTATGGGGTTTAAGCTTATCCCCTTGGAGGTTAGCAAGATCTGTATCATAACCAGCCGGGTGGCCTCGAAACCCACCGCCATTAACTGCAGAAACACTCCCCAGGAGTCGTATTTGGCCTCGCCGTAGGCGGCCACTGCGACGACGCCGACTGAAAGGGCAAGAATAGAATAATAAAATAGTAGTAGAAGTAGAATTAATATAAAAGAATAAAAATTTGAGCAAATACCAATTTTGATCACGTAGTATTAGCAAAATGACAGTTTTAGTTCATATATTTAATTCTTACTAATTTTTATCTACAATTATTGTTTTTGTGCCAAAATTCATCACGTCGATGACCACTTCGTTTAAGACTTGTCGAAATATAAAATTATTAAGGATATTTTTGTCATTTTCAAATTAGGATCCCAATTTGAACATGAATAAAGGGATTTTAAATTCTAAGATCGATCCAATTCGCAATTCTCCTCCTCAAATTAAGGTAGGACGAGGAGGAAAATTGCAAATTGGATCAATCTTAGGGTTTAAATCCCTTTATTCATGCTCAAATTGAAATCTTAAGTTGAAAAGGACGAAAATACCTAAAAAAATTTAGATTTCGGCATGTCTTAAGCGGAGGGGTTATCAACATATGAATTTTGATACTAAAACAATAGTCTCGGATAAAAATTGATACTAAAACAATAATTGTGGAAGAAAATTTGTAAGAATTAAATATGTGGACCAAAATTGTCATTTTGCTAATACTCGTGAGACTAAAATTGGTATTTGCTCAGAAAAATTTATATTACTAGTTTCATACCCGAGATGGAGACCATGTTGACCATGGTGGAGGGCTTGTAGGAGTCCTTGTTGAGTAGAATTCCGATTGTGTAGACGGCGACGGGCATGAGGGCTTTGAGCATCTGGGTGAAGGAGACGGAGAGGTAGATGTAGGCGGAGTTGGAGAACCATAGGGAGAGGGAGTAGAGGGCGCCGATGGGGACGATGCAGGTTAGGCAGACGCGGCGGGAGAGGGTGGCGGCAGGGAGGTGGACGACTCCGGCGACGCGAACGAGGAAGAAGGCAAGGGAGGAGCAGAAGGCCATGTGGATCATGGTGAGGGAGATGGGGAATGGCCAGTTGTAGAGTTTCCGGTCGAGGATGTACTTGTTGTAGACAATGACGGTGAAGGATAGGAAGATCCAGATAGCCACGTAGGTGTAGGAGAGGATTATCTTCTTCACCACTCCGTCATAGAGGGCGGCTCCTTTCCCCATTGCGGTGGTTGTCCGGTGGCGGAACAGCGTAGAATTTGGAGTAGTACAGTACGTGCCCAAGGGAGATATATATCACTTGAATTAGATTAATTGTGCCTAATTTATACTAAAAATGGATTTCATTTGAGCTTCCTATGAATTTATTTAAGATATTATGTTTTTTATTTAGTTAATGTTTTATTTTTGATAATTAGGAATTTTAATAATGACACGATCTTATATTTTATATGCTTGCATTTAATTTTGATCTACTCTGATTTTTAAAAAATATATTTAGATAAATAATCTCTATTTCTCATTCACTTTATTTATATTCCAAATAGAGATAGATATGCATGGTTTGAGATGCAATGGAGTGCCTATATTCACCACCCCACCTACCTTATCATTTCAAAATCTACCCTGCCCTACCTTGTGATAAATGTACATTTTTAAAGTGCATACTAATTTTTATCTTATTAAACAAAAAATTCAAGAACTTTTTTTTAAAATATTATTGACTCGTAGTAGATGTTCATACATACTTTCTCAAAGTACTGAAAAACAAAAAGTTAATATCCTTTCATTATCTGTACAAAGTGTCAATATGCTCACACTAGGGTTCAAACTTGAGACCTTTTATTTGAGGAGCCACCGCTATGTCACTCGACCACAATGCCTTGAACAAAATTTAAGAACTTAATAAAACGTAAACTAAAAGTACATATTAAAACTCAAATTCATTAATAAATATAAGAGTGAATTCCATTTTTGGTCCTACTGTTATAGGGGTCATTCCAATTTTAGTCCACCATAATTATTTTTGCCACATTGCGTCCACTATTATTAAAAGTGTTTCAATTTTAGTCCACGAAAAATCTTAAAGTGGACTAAAATTGGAACACTTTTAATAATAGTGGATGTAATGTGGCAAAAATATTTATGTTGGGCTAAAATTGAAAAAGCCCCTATAACAATAGGACCAAAAATGAAATTCACTCTAAATATAATGCAAATTTTATAATATATAATAATAAAATTGTTTTTTTTTCAAAGGCAAATGATCATCATCAATATTTACTCCATACGTCTCATATTATGTGTATGGTTTGTTTAACGAGGTTTAACTGAAATTATTTTTAATTCAATTTTTTATAATATTAAATTTAATATTAGTATATAAAATTTATATATTTAGAAATTACATTAAAAGTATTATTAAATAAACAAAAAATTAAATTTAAAAAATAATTACAAATTATTAAAAAAAATAATAAGTAAACAAGAAAGAGTTGGTTTAACCCGTAAAAACAGATAAAATGTGACATGAAAAGTATGTAATTGGGAGAAGTGCAAGATCTCTATTTACTGCTCACTTCTCTTTGTGCACGCGTTCAATTTATTTTTAAAAAATAAGTAAAATAGTAGGGTAAAGTATATATTTTAGATAAGTGATATACACAAACTCGAAACTAACCTATACCCACGGCAAATTATTATGTGGATTATGATCCACACAATGATGTGTGAATTATAAATAAAATATTATTATTATTATTATTATTATTATTATTATTATATTTTAAATAAAATTATTATTATATATTTTAAATAAAATTAAATTGTATTTTTTTTCAATTTTTAACTGTAATTACTTCAAGTTCGGTATGATTCGATTCGAAAAAATTAAATCAAATTGTCACCCTTAAAGTCAATTACTAATATAGTCCATTGACTATATTGTCATCCCTATAGTCTATTGGCTATAATAAAATTACCAATTTAATCTCAAGTTAACAAAAGTTCAACGGCAAAACTAATGGAGGACCAAATTGGTTAAACATTTTAAAGTTGAAGGACTTAATTAGTCTAAAAAAATAGTCATGGACCAAATTGATAATTTTGTTATAATCAAGGAACTTTTTGGTAATTAACTATAAATTTAGGCCAAAAAATGAAAGTTAAAATATTTAACTTACCATCTTCTCTACACCTCTTTATTCTAACGAGTTAATTTATTTTTCTGTCCTGACTTTATAAATACTTACTTTAGTCCTTTCATAAACCACTCAAAATCCACAGCTTTTAAAGGTTGCAAAAGCTTCAAACTAGACTTGCAAAAAACAATACAAAACCTTCCCATATAACACCCTCGTCCTACTGTCTGTGCCATTCAATTACAACAGAAAAGCTAATGCAGAAGGCAAATATAGAAATCTCAGCAACACCAGAAGTCCAACATCTTGCCTAAATTTAAAAAGCTCTTAAGACTCAGTTAGGTCGTCTACTTTGAACCATACATATTACATCACCAACAATCTATTTGGTACTGACCTCAAAAAAATCTATTACCCAAAATATTTAGCTGACATCTAGAAAACTGATAAATATAATGTCAGGTAAAGCTAGTCAGGAATATAAACCTAGATCTATGCGATGATGTGGTAGGCAGGTAAACACTACGTCTTCATAAATGGTACAAAACATTCGATAGCATATAGATGAAAACACGCGAGCCAGGAATTACTTCTCTCCTTGCAAACTATTTGCTCATCACTCACAATTCTTGAAGGCAACTGCGCCCCATTTCATTACGATGGCACTGCAAAAATCAGTTTAAAATGAACTTAGAACCATAAAGAAAAGATTACAATCAGACTTGTGAAACTCAGACAATAAAAAGGAATTCAAACAGAATCAGGGCACTCAAGAGTTTTGACATTCTAGAACCACAAACAACCAATTGGGAATGATACTATAATGAAGGTGTACATTGATTAAACAAAAAAGGACACAAAACAAATAAGAAAATTGTTTTGATTTTTTTTTACATGGGGGTTGGGATCAAACTTATGGCCTCCCACCTAAAGTCCCAGCTTATTATGTCCAACCATCTTTGACATATCAAATAGTGAAGCGCAAAGGTACAGTAGTAAAGCACATATTACTCAGTATCAGATTCTTTCACAATTGCATCTTGAGGGGGGTTAGGATCAAACTTATTTTTTATAACCTCCCACCTAAAGCGACGGGCTTATTATGTTTGCCCATCGTTGATATATCAGAGAGTGAAGCGCAAAGTTACAAGGACACAACAAACAAATACTCTAACCCATTTTACCTGTCATTTTTACTATTCATTGGTCAAACCAATTAATTCTTCTCTGCTTATCATCTTTTAATTAAATTTTGTGTTCAATAGTAATTTTAATGCAGTTTCTACATATAGAAACTTTATATATTAATACTAAACTTAACATTATGAAAAATTGAATTAAAAATAACTTCAGTCAAGCCCCGTTAATCCGTTAACCGAACCAAACACAAAATGGGACAGTGAGAGTATAAAATTATTGTGTACTATCTTTCAACGTAGTCATCCAACACACATAATCATTGAATCCCTGAACTTTAGAGGCTATATTTTTGTTCACAACTTGTTTTAAATGACAGAAAGAAAGCACGAGGTATTATGTTGTTAAGGACAAAAGAAATTTAAGTAGCCTAAAAAGCGAAGTGTAGGAGAACATACTATAAGTAGAAGTATCGATCTGCTCAGGTAGCTCTTTGATATCAACTTCGAACCTTTCCTGAACCTACAATCAGTAAGCAGCTATGTATTTCAGAATATTGAAATCTATGGACAGCCTGCATTTAGTAAACTTCAGTCTACAAACCTGATTCAGTACATCTGAATCTGATGATGATGAAACAAAAGTTATAGCAAGACCCTTAGTGCCAAACCGACCAGCTCGACCCACCTATCATTTTATGAAGGAAGGCGGTTAGGAGGACCTAGATGTAGAGTAAATAAAAATTCATAACAGCTTTTAGAAGATATGATATACCCTGTGAAGGTAAGTGTCAGCAGAGTCGGGCATGTCATAGTTAATGACAATGTTAACCCGTTCAATATCAATGCCCCTGCCAACCAAATCAGTAGCAACAAGAATTCTCTTGTGCCCCTCCTTGAAACCCTTGTAACGTGTCAGTCTTCAAGAAAAATACAGCTTAGTTAATAACATGAAATAAACAACTATCCCTCGCGCCCCCAAATAAAACAAATAAAATTGTGCTTCCACTCTGCTTGGATCATATGGTTACCAAGAAACTTTTGGGAGTTAATTCACAATTAGTCAAATTACATGAATACAATACAAATGCTAGAAAGAATACATGTATAGCAGAAGAGATGTTAACATAATGTTAAGGCTGATGAAGTTATACTAACCTCTCTTCCTGAGACATGCCAGAGTGGATGCAGATTGATGGAAAATTACATTCAACAAGTAACTTGTTTAGCTCAGCAGCCCTATTCACACTTTTGACAAAGATAACAACTTGATTAAAGTCCAGAGCATCAAGCAAGTCATTCAGTTTCCGATTTTTCTCCATTTCAGTCAATTTGATGTAGTGCTGAAAAATACAAAGGTGTCAAGAAAAGCACAACATTAAATCTAAAAATAAAAAATAATAAATAAATAAATAAATATGCAACAGATAACTACCTGAACAAGTCCATGAAGAGTTAATTTGGCCTCGTCATCCACATAAATTTCCATTGGCTGAAAAGAATAAACGTCATAGTAAAGCATATTAGGAGCTTCATGAAGCAAACACAATGAGCAGGAAATGATCGATTGTAACATCCCAAGAACAAGGTCCATTCCAACAGTGGGACTACGCCTGGCAGGGACCTTATTATAAGGCCAACTATTTCCATTGTAGGCTTGTAGCTCATATTTACCACACAGCTGACAAAGACCCCAGGAATGACGTTCAACATCAAATATCATATTCCACCTAGTGCCACAATTACCCTCACCCAAGCCTCTCCCACAAGCCTCCACACTCGTACTCTACAATCTCCTTTATTCCATAAAATGAAAAGTGAAAATAAGACATATGGGGAAAAAGACTAAGGGCATACAGCTACTGAACAAGTTTAGCAGCAGATACTAACTATTCCAGCATAAGTTAACCGAGCTTTTTTCTCAAACCCCTAAAACCAATCCATGTTGGACAGTGTTGAAGTAAGATTGATAAAATTGACCCAATATAGCCTGCACAAAGCTGAAATTATGGAAAAAATAGTAGACTTCTGAATTCAAGTAGAATTTGCCACAGGACATTACATCTTGCATAAACTTCTTGCAAACAGGACGGATCTCCTTGCTGAGAGTTGCAGAGAACATCATAACCTGCTTGTCGTGAGGAGTCATCTTGAAAATTTCTTGGACATCTCTCCTCATGTCTGAAAAAACATGTTAGACAGAATTACAAAAATTATAACATATCCTTTTAGAAGAATTCTAACACCAAATGTAAGAACAGGAACCAATCTAACAACATACCAAGTGATTCAAGCATCTTATCACATTCATCCAGTATAAAATGCCTCACATTTCTCAAAGAAAGATTATTTTCTCTTGCTAATGCAAGTATCCTTCCAGGTGTTCCAACAACAATGTGAGGGCATTCATTCTTCAGTAGATCCTTGTGAATTTTGATATTGACACCACCATAGAAAACAGCCACCTTAATATCTGGCAAATATGTGCTGAACCTCTCAAATTCATGACAGATCTGGAAAAGAAGCACATAAATGACACAGTTTTTAGCATTAAATAAAAAACAAATCTTAACCTTAAGAAGACAATGTAATTAAAACTACAGATACATGCCTGGTAAGCCAATTCCCTTGTATGACAAAGAACAAGGGCAGCAACTTGACCAGCAACAGGTTCAATCTGTTGCAAGGTTGAGAGGACAAAAACTGCAGTTTTGCCCATTCCAGATTTTGCTTGGCAAATTACATCCATACCCAGAATAGCTTGTGGAATACATTCATGTTGAACTGGAGAACCATACACATTGGAGCCAAGGAGGAAGCGTATCTCAGTTTCAGTTAAAAAAGTTTACCATTGTAGTTCTCCAAAATAGTACTGATAATAACTATTTACCTGGAAATACAAAAAAAAAAAAAAAAAAAAAAAAAGAATTGTGGTAAAGAAGAATTCAATAACTAAAGTACATAAAGTATTTAAGCAATATGAAATACTCCATAAGTGAATATCAAACATAATCAAACTACAAAAACATTCAAGAAAAGCATATGGAAAGAAAAAATTTGCACACTTAACAACATAAGGATAAAACTTACTAAGATATCAGGTAATAATACATACACAAAAATAATATAATGGAAAATGCTCAACAATGTTCCAAATCACAAGTGATTTCTCTCTACCAAACCAAGAACATATCAATCAGGAAAAAAACAAACAAACAAACAAAGAAAAGGCAGGAGTAGTTCATTGACATTGCTATTTTAAACACCTAGATTTTAAAAAGGGTAAGTAGAATTGAGAACCTTATTTCCCATTGTAACACCTTAAAAACAATTTTCTGATAGATTCACCAATTCAGAAGCATCAAAATGGCATTTTTCAGGAAACAACAGTACTCCCCAAGTGATACCTTTAAAAAATTAATAATAATATTATCCAATTAATTTATTGCTTAACAGTGACTTTAAAGAAGCTATACAGTTTTCATTGTCAATCCACAGAAACTACAACTCTGTGGTATAGACTGTACACTATAAGTTACATATTGAAACTAGAAGGAGAAGGGAACAATTTATGCTCAATAAGACACTCAAGGCGAAGAAAAAGAGGTTACTGACTAAAGCAGGCCAACACCAGAACATTGTGCCTTTAAAATACAACAGTATGACAACCATTATTCTACAATTAATTAATGTATAACATAATTCCGAACTAAACACTGAAAATCCTAGATGTTAGTTGGACTTGCCTTCGGAGGGATGCTCAAACCCTGAATCCACAATAGCTCGCAGTAGCTCTGGCTTGAGAAGAAAGTCTCTGAAACCGGAACTATGAATTCCAACATAACCCCTGGAAATTAAGAAGAAAAGCAAAAGAACAGAGTCAGTACTGTTTCAACATTAAAGAATTTTTTTATTTCCAAAAAGTAACTGTAGCAGGCAAAATTTAACATGACAAGAAAGAAGTAATAGTTTAAAAATCAATTGCAGAAAAATTCCAAACATTCAAACAGCTACAGTATAAAAATGTTGGAACGCCCAACACACTTTTCCAAGTAAGAAGCATGTAAAACCCCAAATAGTATATTGACAGAAAGTAAGAAAAATAGGAATTTTATATAAGGATACAGAGTATTAAAATTACAACCAAAAAAAAAAAAAAAAAAAAAAAAAAAAAAGACTGTATTCAATACAAAGAAAGTCATAAGATAAACAAAGAGATGTCAGAGTGAAGCTCACTTCTTAACGGACTCGCCGTTGACTTTAGCTCCGACGGAATCGGGGGCTTTTTCGTCCTCTTCCTCGTAGTCGAGAAGCTCCTCCTCGTAAGCATCATTCTCCTTGTTTTCTCCCATTACTGCTTCTTCTGTACACCCAAAACACAGATCGAAGCAGAAGAATAATTAGACGTAAAACGACTGAAACGAACCTTATTCAAGTCATTATCTTATCCAAGAACACAAATTTGAACACAGATATGATCTCAAAGCAAAAGCCTTGACTTTCATCCGCTTACCTTGTAGAATCTATATGAGAGAGTAGGATTTTGGAAGGGATTCGTGTTAGTTAGGCGTTAGGGTTTGAGTTCTGCAGAGAAAACGTTAGGCTAATCGAAAAGAAAAACGAAAATTTAGAGAGAGAGAGAGATGTGGGGGAGATAGCGATAGGGTTTTGTGAATCAGAGACGCGGATTAAAAAGGGAAGACGAAAGAACTAGTTTGACGATTTTGTCCCGGGAAGAGTTCCGAAACTCATGTGAAGATACTCACCGCCTCTTTCAATTTAAATCATTTTAATCATTTTAAGAGTTAATTCCAGAAATGGTCTTCCGACTATATTGATTTTTCAGAATTAATTTCTGATTTTTAATTTGGACACTTTACATCCCTTGATTTTTAATTTCTTTTCAATTGAGGTCCTTTCGTCAGATTACGGTAAAATAGATTTTAAATGAAAAAGTAAAGTAGTCATTTCATCTGCATAATGTATAATTCTTCGTATTTTTTCCTTATATACGCGACTTCACGCATCAGATTCACTTAATTGCTTAATCCCTAATGGAATTTTGTTCTCCGAGTGGATTTAGGGATTAAGCAATTAAGCGAATCTGATGTCCGAAGTCGTGCATACAAGGGAGAAATACGAAGAATTATACATTAGGCAGATGAAATGACTACTTTACCCTTTCATTTAAAGTCTAATTTACCGTAATATAACGAAAGGACCTCAATTGGAAAAAAAATGAAAGTCAAGGGACGTAAAGTGTCCAAATTAAAAGTCGAGAACTAATTTTGAAAAGAGTAAATACCCAAAATGGTCCCTCGACTATAGCTAAATTCACAAATTGGTCCTCAGCTTTCAATTTCAACCAATTAAGTCCTTAACTTTGCAATTTTAACACAATTTAGTCCTCTGTTTATTTGACTGTTTGTTGACTGTGATTTTTGAAGATATATATGTAATTTCATGGTCCATCGTCGGGTTTTTAAGGTTCCGGTTGTATTTCCAGACTGCACTGTTACATTTGAATCCACTGCCGAAAGCAATTTACCAAATCCGGTCGCCTTTCTTCATCCTCCCTTTGGATTCAATATAGTTGAGTTCGTACCAGAGCGAAGAAGACGACGTGTTTCCGAACCGGTGCAACGTCATCCTGGAGGCCTCCACGTGCTCTGACGAGAGCTGAAGGTTCTTCTGGAGATCGTCGATCACGGTCAACAAATGGTCAAATAGATGGAGGACCAAATCGTGTCAAAATTACAAAGTTAAGGACTTAATTGGTTGAAATTGAAAGCCGATGACCAATTTGTGAATTTAGCTATAGTCGAGGGACCATTTTAGGTATTTACTCTTTTGGAAAATCAATATAGTCGGAGGACCATTGCTGGAATTAACTCATCATTTTAATCTCATCTTTAATTTTTTATTGAGTTAATTCAATTTTTTGTTCTTGTCCCAAAAGGTTGAATCTCCAACCCTAAGGGCCCATATTCTGACCCGACAGATAATTTTTTGTTCTAGATTTATAGGTGACAGTTTACTTATAGTCGTTTTCTATTAGAACATCACCATTTAGTTCTAGTATTATTGTATCATGGTCATTTATAGTCCCCATTCAACAAAAATCGTTAAAATGTCTTTAAATATAAAGATATTTCAATCTTTTTTATACAAAGTAGGTTGAACGGCTATATTTTATATGTTTATTTTTTTGAAAATATCCATAATTGAATATCGAAATGTCATTGTATTTAACGATATTTAAACTCTTTTGTTGATAAATGACCAAAAATGGTCATACTACAATAATACTATGACCAAAAGTGGATGTTATAATAATTAAAAAATATTATTTAAAGTGGATTGACACCTATAAATCTAGGACCAAAAATGGAATTAAATCATTTTTTATTTTATAATTTTATAAAGAGTTAATTTATTTTTGGTCCTAAATTTATAGGTGATAGTCCACTTTTAGTCCCTTTTTTTTAAACATCCTCATTTGATCCTAGTATTATTGTGTCATGATCATTTTTTGTCCTCCGTCAATAAAATCGTTGAAATGTCATTAAATACAAGGATATTTCAATCTTTTTTAATACAAAGTAGGTTGACCCGTTATATTTTTATTTTAATTTTATTTAAAAAATCATAATTGAAGACCAAAATATCCTTGTATTTTACGAAATTTCAATAATTTTGTTGATGGATGACCAAGATCACTCCACAATAATACTATGACCAAATGAGAATTTTCTGAAAAAGGACTAATAAAAGCGGATTGCCCCCTATAAATATAGGACAAAAAATGAAATTAGCTCTTTTATAAATTAAAAACATTAAAAAAAAAAAAAAATAAGGTTATCGGAAGAAGCGGTTTCAGTCCTGCTGTAAGGAAATAACAAGGCTCATATAGTAAGGTTCAAAATGGAAAGAAAAAGTCTTGCTCTCGGAAGTAAAGACGTGACTTTGGAAAAAGACATCGGAAGAAGAAAAATATCTTTCAAAAGTCTCAACTAGTTGAAGACATTGAGTAAATGTAATTAATCTATTCAATAATATAATCATGGTTGCACTTTGGATTATTGTATATAAGTGGGAAGTTGAATTTTCATATGGCACATTGTACAGAGTGTATTTAAGAGCAACCTTATTAGTAGCAAATTTTATGTGATTTTTGTCGGTACAACTAGGAAAGAGAAAAAAGAGGGAAGAGGAACAAAAACAAAAACAAAATCTAAAAACAAAGATTAACGTGTCCGGTTGGGCGTGAGATGTGCACATAACGCACAAATTTGCCTTCTTTTCTCTCTCCTCTAGGCCCACCAAAAATTATACATTGTAAGAGAACAAACTACTAAAATACCCCCTTTTCATTTGTCAAAAAATCAAACCCAAGTCTTTCAATTATCACATCAAAGTTGACAACCCTCTCCTAAAACGCCTTATAATCTTACCATTTTCATCATAACTTATTAAATAAGTATGGTTATCTTTCCAATGCAAATCCCTCATTCATATATTATTTCGTTGTCACTCCTCGAACACTTCTGCAATCTAGGCATTTTGAGTAGTCTTAAAACCCTTCAAGAAATCTCACAACTGTTCATATTCTCATATCATTTTCTAGCATTAATGGTTGTCTCATGTTTCATTGTGACCGCAGAGATGATCAACAAGATTAGTATTGTCAAGTTAGTGGAATTCATTGCTTATCTAGATAACGCCGACGACAAGGAAAGTGCTAGGGACATGGTTGAATGCCTAAAAGACACTAGCATGTACGATTATCTAAGCAAGCCTTTGGAAGCATTTTCTCAAACGGTTGCAGTTCAGTTTTATGGAATGGCTACTATCAACGGTGATGGGGTCAAGGAAAATGTAATCGATAATAAAATCATTGTTACAATAGAAGATTTCAGTCGGATTGGGCTTAGTAATGAAAGGGAAGCAAATCTAGAAGCCCAAGTGGTAGATGCCGAATGGCTGTGGACAAAGATTGTTCGGAGTGAGTACCATGTACTAGACTTTAGCTGCAAGAATTGAAGCCGGAGATGCAATGACTATTTGAGATAGTAACTATTTGTGTGGAATGAATGACTAGTAATTTGGACTAAATGACTAGAACTAAGGCGAGGGCCACGGAAATTATCTTTCGAAAGTAGAAGACAAATTGGGCAGTTCGCATTTCCAAGAGAAATGTAAAGGTAATTCGGAAGGTGCAAGGAGTGAAGTTTGCTATGGCCCATAGCCGCGGAATTATGATTTCTTACATTCTTGAGTGTAAGAACGTCAATATAGGGAATAAGGATTTCAAGCTTACATAAAAATACAATTGTAAATTACATGGTGGGCATCCATCGGACAATAAATCATTCGTAAAATGATACATTTTCCCTTGGACTTTTAAAGTATAAATTCATTTGTTACGTTACGTCTACACATATCTTTTCAATAAGTATAAATAACAAGAAAAGTAAAAGTAACTGTAGTGTTGTAAGTTCTAACACATCAACGTAAATTATTATATTTGTTATTAGGGCTGGTGTACAATGCTTTCAAAATGGGTGACATTTTGTTTGAGAAAAGTACAACTTTACCCTACGACAACTAAATGCAAGAGGTTCATACTGAATGCGCTTTTATTTGGCCGACAATAAATACAATCACTCATCATGGACAACCTAAATGGTCGTGTTGTGCATTGTATTCTAATTTGCTTACTAACAAAAAGATAACAATTAACATTTGATAATAACCATTATGTTTGTTTAAATTTGATTTATGATACCAACATTTAATGTTAATTATCCATTGGACATTGATATTGATAAATACAAAAAAAAAAAAAAAAAAAAATCATGTGTATCCAATTTATTTATGAACAAATAGAGTGAAATTATTTAGAATAATTTTTTTACATATCGCAAATGTGCATTTATAATGGAAGAATTAAATTGTGTCATAATAATAATAATAATAATAATAATAATAATTATTATTATTATTATTATTATTATTATTATTATTATTTTTGCAAAGTTCATAAATCCATGATATTTGATCGAACACAACAGGAAACAATGAGAAATGACAAATAAAACAAAAAGATTTCAAGTTAGCATCCATTCAAAAGAGAGACTTATATTGTTAAAAAAAGAAAAAGTGGGAAGAAAATAAGTGCAAATGTATTAGAATTTAGACATGAAAAAATGGTTAAATTTAATATTATAAATTAATTAATACCTCACAATCAAGCAAACCCAGTAATTGATGTGTGCAAAGAAACATTCTATCTAAGATAGTGTAAAAACATTAGAGCATCAAATTCATTTAGCTGTTGAAAGTAGAGGTGGAGACAGAATGGATTCATACAAAAGAAAAACACCAAATAAAACCATGAAATGAAGCAAAACATTTGCAGAGAAACGGTTCAAACAATATCCATCATACCTATAACATAATGAAGCGACATGTTGTAATTAAAGTACCGACCAAAAAAATTCATACAAATCTATGTATAAAACTAAATGAGAAGGCAGAAAGAAAAGCAAAAGCAAATCAAGAAAAATGAAAGTAAAAAATCGCTGCAACTTATAGGACGAAAAAATGAAAAGAAACCGGAGAGAAATGTAACTTATGTAATATCTAGAATAGTCGGCAATATATAAGCAAAAGTTAGAG